CAATGCCTCCTCTAGTGTTATTTATAATCTCTATGGGTGAAGAACATTGTCGAAAACTTAGGATCGCGGTTGGGACAGTGGTAGTTGCCATGAATTTAGGGACCAGTAGTCATGGCAATGGCGTCAGATCCGCCATGTTTTTGGCTTCACTTTTTTTTCCCGAGCAGGTCCTCCAGTAATATAGTATAGCTCAGTGGCTCAGACCGGGAGAACCCGGGGGTCCCCAACCCCAATGGGGGGCCCCAGGTTTAGGCGATAGAGCAAAAACATTGGCCTGGGCCTCTGATATGTTACATTGTCGTTTTCTGACCATCAGAATTCTGTAAAATATCTCCCCCAAAGTCCTGGAAAAGCCCCATTTACATGAGCAAATTTTATTTGACAAATTTCATATGTCAAAGACATTTTGCTCGTGTGGATGATGCTTTTGTGACAAATTTATTGTGACAAATGCATTTGAACAAAAGCTAGCATGCTAGCTTTTGATCAAATGCATTTGTCATATGAAATTTGTCAAATAAAATTTGCTCGTGTAAATGGGGCTTATATGGCGCTCAACTCGTGCCTTTGGCACTTCTACTAGGGGGGCCTTCGAAAATTTTGACCCGGGGGCCCCCTGATATAACGTTACGCCACTGGTGCGCATGCCAACAACCGTACTTACATAGGCGTACGGGAGGGAAAAAATTAGGGGGGGGGGCGGAAGCAAATTTATCTGACTTTTCCCCATCGTGCCCAATTTTAAAAAGTTCCGTGTAAACTTTCCAAAATTGTTGTCAGGGGGGGAGGTTTGACGAAATTTTTTTTTCTAATCTGTTAAAATTCCTCGTTACTTTTAGCACATAATTCTTCTGTTTTGCACGTCGTTTACAAATCGAATTGCCTATGTACCATTATTGTAATTTCACCATGCAAAAATACAAAGAATCTATAGTAGTATAGATTCAGATAATTAATCACACAGTGTGATGGAATTTTTTCTGGATTCTTTCTTATACATTTTTGCAGTAGTTTTATTAAAGCATGCATACTTTGAATGATTGAAGGTGAGTCAAAGTGTAACTACAGAAAGTCTCTGAAGGAAATTCATTAGTATTTGAAAATGCAATACAGAATTATAATTTTCCGGCTGACTGAAAGCTGTGGGCTACATTTTGTACTAGGACTATATCATCCTCACTATTTTTGTATCCTTTTGATTAGGTTAGAGAATAGAGATTTACAGTAAAATAACAACTTACCAGTGAAATCAGTTATCATCAGTGCATTAAACAGCACATAAAGACGAAAGGGGTATGCAAATACCATGCTGGCAAGAAGCTTTTAATTTGATAGAATCTGTAACAGGAAACCACTTAACCACGTTGTTGTGTAAGTTGATTGCAGTACCAATTGTACTTCATATACAGAGCCAAAAGCCTCGAGAAAATAGGACCGCTGTAAGACTCCGAAAGCTCTATGAGATAGATGTTAGAATAAGGTTGATCAACTGCATTGTATCGAAGCGTACACATGACACTCACAGCTTACCGCCAATATACGCACGTAATTAATTACCTGTAAGGTTGCAAAAGCATTGCTGCACAAATTTGCTGCACCTTACAAAAAAAAGGTAACAATTTCCGCACGTAATACAAATATACTGAAAATATGCAAACTTTGCAAGGCTATATTTTCCAAACTTTACAACATTTCGCGACCAAATTTTGCAATTTTACTAATTTTAATAAGTTTTTTACGGGAATTTACCTTTTATTGCCTAGATCAAAAATTTGTCTAACATGCAAGTTAGTCGATTAGAATCACATCAATTCCATTTATGTAGCCAGCAAGGTGCTTTCATTAGCTATTTAAGAAATTCGAGTCCGGGTTATGTAAAAAGTGAAAAAAAAAGTCACGTCCGTTTTCGGTTTCGCTTTTGTATTTGCCATTTTTTGACAGGTCACAGGTGGTCATATTCAATGTGGTTCGTTGTATAAAACGTCACTATAAACACAAAACATTCTCAAACTGATCTGAATTTTGGAATATAACTGATAACTATAAAGATGTGTCTGAATTCTTATAATATATGACTGCATTTGGATTGCATTCTCACCAAAACATCAGCGGCAAAGAAAAAGTAAAAACGTTGCGTTCTAATGTGAACGTTGGTCGTTGCCTAATACAGTAATAGTCGTCGACTCGTCGTTGCTTAATTCATCAGCTATCAAGATGAGTTATACAGTATGAATTTCACATCGCTGAAGACATCAAAACTATATATAAACCCAACCTCACCTGAAATATAAAAAGTCGATATTTCGAGCTTTAGTTCCGCCTTCTGGTTTAATACGTTTCGCTTCGTGTATACTCAGTTGTTTCTTGAACTGACTGTAGCTTGAAATAAGTCAAATAAGCTGCACAAACAGAATACGTCATAAATCCCTTCTTGCAACCGGAAGCTTCGTTCTCGTGAATTTTGAGCGAATGGCCATATATATTTATTATATAAACACTAGTGTCATATAGAGTACTTGGCCACTGAGAAAAATCGTATTTATAAAAGCTAGGGTACAGTCTGTATGCAAACAAAGCCTTTGGTTACATTTCGGTATCAAAATATTGAACTTTGTTCGACAACTATTTGAATATTTTCATGCTTCTACAGTATAATAAATTATCAAGATACAGCAATAAGGCTTTGAAAGAACATAAAATGAAATAAAAACCGCATTAAAGTTCATTAAAGTGTTTATATCACGGCAGGAAACTCTTATCTGCGCATGCGCAGACCGGACTGTACCCCATCTTTAATGAAAAATAACTAAAAGTGATTTTCAACCAGCCTAGCCAGCCACTCCTTGCGTTATCAACAATATAGTATTGTAATTATCAACCGTTATCAGCAATAAGTTATTGGGTTGTAACCCTAACCCCCACCCTAACCTCTAACCCCCACCCCCTAACCTCTAACCCCCACTCCCTAACCCTAACCCTGGAGTTGCTGGGTTCAGAGCCGACTGACCAGCAACGAAGTCCCTGAAAATTTATTGATACAAGATTGTTTAACAGAGAATATGAATCCTATACCCACGTGCCTGATAATATGCAATAAATAAATTGCAATATATACTGTACGTAAACACCGCTTCTCAAGTTTTACAATTATGACGAGCATGAACTAGAATCACCAAGCAGAATTCAGTTTGGTTTATAGAATGAAAATAAAATTAAAAAAAAAACATTCGTCCATACCAATCAACAAGTTAACATTCCATCCTTTTCAAAATGCACAAGTCAAACAGCGTCATCTTTTGGCGTATAACTTCTACTTGCAGCCATATATAATAGTCTAATTAAATGCTGTCAAACCATTTCTAGAAGGTGTGCCGGAAAAATTATCGAGGCCTCTTTTGTTGGCTGGGAAGCTGTAACTAACGATATACCTCCAACTGTGCGCTTTTGTTGTGAAGTATTTCTGCAGATAAAAATATACCACAACATTGAATTAAGTAAGATAATTGGGGCATTCCACAGCCAGTAAAGGCAAAACAAGACTGCTTTCATTTGCCAAAAAAGTTGGGGATGTAGACTAAGCAATAAGATTTTGACAACGACAAGACATTCTGAAGAAACGCAGAAGAGGTCCTTTTAGCTTGTCATTCCAAGTCGGATTTTTCCATGTGCAAGTCAGCCATGACGTAAAGGTATGGCGCCTTTATGTTTATATTTTGTTTGATAAATTAACCGTGCTTGGCCCTAAATGTTTATGTCGTCATGACTAATAGACTGGTCATCTGAAACAAAACGTGAATTATTAAGGTATTAATCATCGGTTTTACGATGATTCGTTTGAACGAAATTGGGGAAAGCCAAGTGAGATATTGTTCGTCTGATAATTGTTCTGCATGTGTAATTGAAAAGCGTTGAACTAACACAACATTGGCTTAAACAAATTCAACAAGGGTGGTGAGTTTCTTGTCTTCATACACGAATGTGCGTTATATGATAATTCGCCTGGACAGATGCTGAGATATCTATGACTCTGTGTATATGACCAGAATATATATAATTTAATTCTTAGCTACAAGCAGCCGCTATATACTATATATCATCGCAATTCGCAATTCCTTATTCATTAAGTCCGCTGAGCCGCTTTGCAGGAACGCATTATTGAGCTTTGTGATAGGTTGCCAAAATTAATTTCGCCGATCAATTACTCGTATATGGTGTAAAACTGACTCGCGGGCTGACCGCTTATCTCTATGATACGATAATATCTGTCTGTAGATGTCTGGGAAAAATTCAAAGAATGATATGAGTGTTACCTCAACCGTTACCTCACTCGAAAGATTGTTTCTGAATTTCTATTGAAGATGATTTTAAAATATATTTGAATATCGAGATTTTTGGGCCGTAGGTCCGATTTCGCAGATCCTGGTTAGGTCTTAAAAGTCTATGTAATCTAAAAAGTGTATATATAGCTACAGTCCGCTCAAAGATAGACCATCTCCAATTAAAATCCTTCATCTTCATGGAGAAGGTTAAACTACAATACTTTTTGTTTGGTGGGCAATATTCTATCTTTCTTCATTTGGCAACCCGTTTCGATTCTTAAATTCGGAATTTCATCAGTGAAAATAATACAGCCAAATCTGCATGATCATAATCGTCTGAGCTTTGCATTTCATCTGAGCTTTGCGAAATACAATAAGGCAAGAAAGTTATATGATGGCGAAACTGTCTTGCCGCAATAAGGAAAATTTCAGAACGAAGTCGCCCCGAGATAGCCAAGCTGCAGATCAGTGACTCGAATGTCCCGCTAACAGCATGGAACTATGCACCGGCGAAATAACTAGCCAATGTGCGTTGAAGTCATGTCAATAATTTTGCTTAATAGCTTTAGGTATCGTAAATTGGTTAAAACAACCAACAAATCAGATTGAAAGTGAATCAGGTTAACCAATTCAGGTCTGACGAAGGCCAAAATCCGCCATTTTTGAGATACCGTTTGCCCTCGTGAAAGATTCTAGACAATTCAAAAAAAGTGAAATGCGACTTTTAAAAGTTGTAATTGTAAATTTACCATCATACAAACAACTATAAGTATAATACTAAAAAGTTGTATTTCGTGGTGCGGAGACTCTCAAACGTGGGACTGAGGCAGTATACCCCCCAAATGGCGGGGAAATCGGCCGCGAGGAAGGCTAATTCATAGGTTGTTTTAACCATTTTGTGTTTCAGTTTCACAGTGTATTTTATTCGATTCATAACGGTATTAAGTTTTTTCAATAAGAATATGTTCGGACGAGAGTTGTAAGTGGTGCTCAAGTTGGGAAGTGCTACAGTTTCAATACAATTAGGAAGAAACTTATTTAAACGACATTTCCGATTGTCTTTTTATTTTCCTCCAAAAAGAAGACTATACACTACGTATAATAAAAAGAATTAATTGATTATTTTAGTTACTCTGATAAGTGTAAGTTGACTATCATTTACCGCACGACAGCGTTTTAGTGAAATTCCATCAGTACACCCTTCCTGGGAGCATAATGCCTTGGTTTTAAAAACTTTTATTCAACGTATAACTGCTTGCAATGACGATAGCGATTGACGTAGTTTCCGCAAGAGTGTCCAGCATTGTATTTATATTTTCTAGCACGACGCATGACGTAAATGTATAGCAGTCTACTATTGTGGTGTGCTTGAATGCAAGCCTGGTTGCCCGTCATATTGCTGTGGTTTATCTCGCTCTTCACCAGTACTCTCGCGGTCATCACTTGTATCTACAGACATTTAGATCACGGCAAATACAGGTTAGTAAACCTTGTAGCGATATTTCGTTCATTTTAAATCGTAATTTCTATTGTTTATTATGATAATTTTTGATTGATTAGTTAGTTAGTTAGTTAGTTAGTTAGTTAGCTAGTTAGTTAGTTAGTTAGTTGTAAACTTTGTCCAGTTGACAGTTCTGCTATTTTTAGGTAATATAGTGTTAGCCAATCAGAATGCTAAATTGACCGACCCGGACCGGGGCTTTCTCGTGTACCTCCTCGTCCTCACATGAAAGCCTTGGGAACGAGGTTGACTGATTTTTTCCGATTGGAAGACGGCCAAGTCGTATAGACGAACAAATCGTCTCAAAATCGTCTTTTAGTCGGACGAATCATCAGATATGAAAACGTGTCGTACAAAATTTTAGACGAACAAGTCGTCTGAATTTGTTCGACTACTTGTCCGTCTGTGAAGACGATTTTTGAGAGACGATTTGTTCGTCTAGACGATTTGTCCGTCTCTAATGTGAAGGGATATTAACTCTTAAAGTCCCTATTTTTAAAACAGAGGCGTTCTGGTGGTGAATATACTGTCTAATACTATGAAAAAATACTAATCTTTTGACGCTACTAATCGTCTGACGAAGGGCCTTAGCTCCAAACGTCCAGAAGCTTTTTCTATCTTTTAGATAGTATATTCACCATGCACAAGAACGCCGCTTTTTTATGGAAACTATCTACGCTGGACCCCCACCCTTATAATTCCCTATTTGTAGTTTAATGCTTCTAGCATCCTCCGCCACCCCCCCACCCCCACCAGCACTGATCCAGTATGCTGATGTATAGTTTTCACCGGCATTAGCGCTAAGTCCATAACGACAAATAACGCGGACACCCCAGCATATTGTTAAAACAACTATGAGTATAGCAGTAACAAGTACTACAATCAACCAAACAGGGAATGTTTTAGAATCCGATTTACGAGTTCTGCATTCTTTGGCATTGCTGGGGCAATTCTCACTCGAGCTTCCACAGTCGTCGCTAGTTTCGCAAGGCTCACCGAGACAATTTTCCTTGCATTTGTGAACCCTTTGACAGCACACTTTTCCATTTCGACAATCAGAGTTTGATCGACACCCAGCAAAACACTTCTTGTTAACGCCACAGTATTCATTCCATCCTCCCCATCCAACATCATGTGTGCAGGATTCGCCGATGCAGCTTTCGCTGCAATTCACACCACAACACAGGGGCGGCGGAACAGATTTCAGTTTGGGGGGGCTAAATTTTTTTCCGTGACCTCCCCCCCCCGTCGCCAAAAAAATTTCGGTCAGTCTACCATTTTAGGGGTAGGAAAATTTTTCCGGACCTATAACAAAAGGGCTGAAAAAAATTTTCCGGACCTATAACAAAAAATTTTTCCGGACATACACGATTTTTAAACAAAATATTCCAAATTATTCCCCTTATACCTAAATTTTCCAAAAATAACCTACATTTTTCCTTAATTATCAAAATTTTTCCAGAGAAAACAAAATTTTCTGGGGGGGGCTTAGCCCCCCCCACTTTTACTTCTGGGGGAGGCTTCAGCCCCCCTAGCCCCCCTGTTCCGCCGCCACTGCCACAACACACGGTCACACGGTTCCGCGTTGACAATCGAAGTTATTGTAAGAACACTGAACAAGTGGCTGCATATGACGTAGATTCTTCGTGAAAGAATACGTTTATGACCAGTAAGAATGTCGAGAGAACATACTTTGCCATTTTCTATACCGTTTTGGTTTCTTCTTAACAATACTATTACCGAACGATTGTTGTATTTTGATCTAGACAACCTTTCTTCAGAAAATATAACGATTTATTGGACGTTTTCCGGCTTAAATTGATTTATATAATTCCTCTTCCCCCACAAAATACATTGGTCGGTAATTACGCTGAAACACCCACTCAGATAATCTGAAGCCAACTCACAACACAAAAGCTGTTTTGTAGTAGACAGGGTTCGTAGTCTCCAAGACCAAAAAATTAATCAAAGACGTCTTTCAAAGATTTTTTCTGCACCATTTTTACCCGGTAATTAGTCCCGTCAAATCACATCCTAAAATGCACTTGTTGGTATTGTTAGTTTGTTAGTTTGTTAGTTTGTTACAGTGAAAATACAAAAAGTGTCCCACTTCCGCTTTTGTAGTTTGTTGTGATTTACTGTAATAAAATGTATTATTTCCCTTTGCTACAAATTATCATACTTAAAAAAAGAAAAAAACTAAGTTTTATCGCGGTATTTGCCGATAAATCGGTAATCGCTACAGAAAAACAGAACAAATTACAGTAAATCACAACAAACTACAGAAGCGGAAGTGGGACACTTTTTGTATTTTCACTGTAATTAGCCATTTCCCAGGCGAGCAGATACTGGGTCTAGTCGCTTATTTGGAGGGACTGACAAAAAATAAAAATATGCCGAATATGGCATCTTGGAAGTTTTCCTACATTCTTAAAGTTATTTGTGCAGCCTGAAACGCAACAATTATAATAAGGTATCTTTAATTTTAATATATATTAAGCTCGCTCACTCATTCTCGTACCCAGAGCCCTTCTTACGCGCGGTGCGACGAGGGGCTTTGGCCAAATCCATAACCAGATACCATAAAAACATGGTACGAAAACAATGCCCGGTGTTAGAACTAGCCAATCAGATGCCAGTTCGGAATATGGATTTGGCCAGAGCCCCTCGTCGCACCGCGCGTAAGAAGGGCTCTGGGTACGAGAATGCTCGCTCACTATGATTTACCCAGCCCTCTGCTCGATTGGGAAATGGCTAATTGGAAAGTTAGTTAGCTCGTTAGTTGATTATTTAGTTAATTATTTAGATAAATTATTAATTAGTTAGCTAATTATTGTAGTTAAGTAAGGTGGACTGGTAAGTCTATTTCTCATGGTCCATTTACGAGGGCTTTCATGGGCCTTAGTACCACCTTGTTTGCCACACCTCACATGACACCGATTGCAACTTCCTTGTATATTTAACAGGTGGAAGAATATTCACAAACACTTGTCTCCCTGGATATTGTTAGCGCTTCTAACGGCCGCATTTATGGTCGGAAATGTTTGGTTGATTGCTAACAGCAGAGAATCTGACGTAGCTAGGTAAGAAATTACAGAGAGATCTTGTTCAGCATTTTTCCCATATGTCATCAACGACGAAGTTTCAAATGCATTGCCCGTTATTTTCCAGAATGGCTAAACAAGCTGGCCTGCTTATTGGATTGTTTGTCGGGCTGTTCTTCATTATCTGCGGTATAACTGCTATCATATGGAGAAAGTATCAAAAACGCGCATCACAAAATAGGTAAGTTTAAATCAGAATGGAGAATCATATATGCCCAAAAAAGATTCTAAACAGTGTCGCTATCGGGTATGCTAAAATCCGGCATAATTTACAGCCACAAACCAGATACAAATCCGGCATAATTTACAGCCACAAATCCGGCATAATTTACAGCCACAAATCCGGCATAATTTACAGCCACAAATCCGGCATAATTTACAGCCACAAATCAGACACGCTGAAAAAAGGCGCATACCGGCTTTATACCACAAACCCTGGCTACAAGCCGTGCCGAAAACACACAGACATACTTTATAGCCAAAAACCGTGTGTTGAAGCCAGAGGGAACTGAGATAAAATTTGGCTAGCTTTTGCTGATAACTGAAGACTATCGGCTTAGAAAAGTGGCATTATATTGACACTTGGCAGATTTTGGCTAATATTGCCAGGGGCAAAGCGGTTGTTTTTCCTCCTTATCGTTTCCGTTTAGGTTGCATAGTTTTAGGCATGGATGTTGCGTATTACTAACCCTAATTTATTTTTTAAATCAATTGCTCCTATATGCTCATCAGAATTCTTATGAGGATTCTGGACTCAGTCTATATACAAGAGTGTTCATGAGCATACTCGATGTTGGCCCATACATGAGCCGGCTCATAAGCATACCTTATTTTGGTATCGAATAAGGACGCCCAAATATGTACCAAAATCCTAGCCTCGCGCCCAGGCGCAGCGACCAATTTTCCATTTCTCACGAAACGACGTAGCGAATCAAAGCGCCTGGGGACGAGGCAGCCAAAATCCACTATATACCCAGGAGCACGCTCGAATATATAAGTAGAATCCAGTAAAACACTAGCGAGCATTCTCATGAGGATAGAATATTTTCACTATACTTTTTAGCCACGGAGGTCTGTGGTGTGGCTAAAAAGTATAGTGAAATTAATCTGATATACTTTGTCATATACGTTTTAGCCACGGAGGTCTGCGGCTTAAACGTATACCAGATTTCAGTATACTTTTTAGCCACGGCGTTCTGTCGCTAAAAAGTATACCAGATTTCAGTATACTTTTTAGCCACAGCGGTCTGTGGCTAAAAAGTATATCAGATTTCAGTATACTTTTTAGCCACGGCGGTCTGTGGCTAAAAAGTATACCAGATTTCACTATACTTTTAGCCACGGCGGTCTGTGGCTAAAAAGTATACCAGATTTCAGTACACTTTTTAGCCACGGCGGTCTGTGGCTAAAAAGTATACCAGATTTCAGTACACTTTTTAGCCACGGCGGTCTGTGGCTAAAAAGTATACCATATTTCAGTATACTTTTTAGCCACGGCGGTCTGTGGCTAAAAAGTATACCATATTTCAGTATACTTTTTAGCCACGGCGGTCTGTGGCTAAAAAGTATATCAGATTTCAGTATACTTTTTAGCCACGGCGGTCTGTGGCAAATAGTATATCAGATTTCAGTATACTTTTAGCCACGGAGGCTTGTGGCTATATATTAATTACAGGTATTGCTAAAATATAGCACGTATTTTTTAGCAGTACCTGTAATTGGATCATGTTAATAAAGTTATTGTTATTATTGCAGCCACAAAGAGGCGTTGCTATAAGCTATGTCGAAATAGGATATCTTTTATGGCCAGAATCCGCCTTGGCTGTTGTGAATACCGGTAGTTTGAGCGGGTTTATTCATTTCTAGTGAAGGCCAAGTGTATAAACTGATAACGAATGGCTTACTGTATTTTGCGAAACGAAACTTTGCGAAACGAAACTTTGCGAAACTGTATTTTGCGAAACTGTATTTTGCGAAACTGTATTTTGCGAAACTGTATTTTGCGAAACTGCATTTTGCGAAACTGTATTTTGCGAAACTGTATTTTGCGAAACTGTATTTTGTCATGATTCCTTTACCATATGTTTTCCCATATATTTCTCCCTTCGTTTGCTCGTATAATCCTAATTACACCAACAGGCCTAAGAGGTCCTTGTGTAATTTAAATTCTGCTAGTAGAGTTGGCAAACATTTGTTTATAAAGACTGAAAATAAATCAAAGACAAAGTGCAGTATGTTGCTTTGAATGCTTTCACATGGAACTTTATACATGTACATATAAAATGGTGTGGGTTGATTTTGAAAGAAAATATAGCGACATCACCATACAGATTATAAATAACACTAGAGAGTAGAGGGGGCATCGTAATCTTAATTCAGTCAAAGAAAGGGAACGTGTCTATTCAGTATTGGGGGTCAAAAAATTAAAATGCTAAAATATAAGAGAGAGTTTGAGCCAATATGTCTAAATTCTTGTTTATGGTAGTTAACTGAGTTCTGTTTTGTTTTTTACCAAGCATTTTTACCACAATTTTGTTTATAACACATTTCAAACAGTGTTCCAAATAATGCTGATGTCAGTACTTTTGATATTTTCAAGAGAAATTAATTGTTTGAATTAAAAATTTGGGGGGAATGTTTGTAATGACATTCAAAGCATATAAAACACCCAGTTTTGTGACTCTTGTTTTAAATTTTTCTGGTTTCAAGTGCAACCCAAGACTTGTGTGGTGTTTATTCGTGATTTCAATTTCCCCACTGCCCCCGTTACCGCGCTCCCAAATTTCACCCGATTCCCCCTCTATCGTTATTTATAATCTCTATGGACACCACAGCCATGACGTATAGATCAGTGAACAACAGAAACGTTTGATGTTGTGAAAATGGCGAAATTGCAACTACATCAAATGTTTCTGAATTCTGTTGCTCACTGATTTATACGTCACGACTGTGGTGTCCATAGAGATTATAAATAACGGTAGAGGGAGAATCGAGGGTGAAATTTGAGAGCGCGGTAATG